GGAGACATGCATTTTTAGTTAACAGCTCTGCAATTTTCAGAGCCACATCAAGTGAGAAGAGAGGCTGATGTTTCACAAGTGGGGTGGAAGGCGTGGGTGTGGGATAGAAGGATGGAGAAGTAATTTATCCTCGCTCAGAGTCAGTGTAGAAGGAGGGGACCGTGGAAGCCTGTTTCCACCTCTGAGTAAAAAACAAAAGGTAACTGTGAGAATAAATAGGAAATTTTCTAACATAAAATCGCAATTAGATGAGAGATAATGTTGCATTTACCTTTTGAAAACGGGCTTCCATATGACATGTACCACTAATAGAAAGATGAGTGCTTCATGTAGAAGCTGTAGGAATGAAAGTCAAAATTTATGTTACTGTTGCAGATTTTATTGATCTTTTGAAACCGATTTAGGTCTTTCTCTTTTCAAGTAAACAGGAACTCTTCTTGTGCATCCAACCCAGGTTCATTGAGAAAACATGCTAATGGCGACATTTCTGCAAAATGGTATTACATTGGTTCTTGCATGTCACTTTTAGAGTGGCTTTAATAGTCTAAGAGTCTTTAGTTTTATATGAAATAGATGAATGTGAATCTGGCAAAGTTCACATCAGCTCAGAAATCAAATGTCCGGTGAGTAGCGATAAAATACTTGCATTTGAAAATATTGTATACATTAACATGAGATAAAAACACATTTGCTGAAGCAACCATGCCACTTTATCTTGTTTCTGCAAGTCTTTGAGCTCTTTTATTGTGACTTGTGTTTCACAGGATTTGTACCCAAGCACTCCGTATTGCAAGTACAATGCTGTACCAGGTGCGCAACAGAGCAAGTTTACTACATCAGAAAAGCCATACATATGGAGCGATCATGTCAAACATCAAAATGTATTCGTTTACAAATCATGCACTATGTTAAGTGTTTTCAGTTCATAACATAGTATTGTGCAACGAATCATTTAAAAACAAGTTTTTATTCATCGATAACCTGCACCTGTAATTATAATTTGTGTGAAAAGGAATAAAAGTGGTTGATGTTTTACTGCCACTGGTGTTCATTTCAGTTGGAAACTACAGAGAATGGTGTGTGTAAAGTATATAGGTACGCTTTTGGAGTGCTACATTTTTCAAAAATGTAGATAGAGGCACATCTTTCCAATGAACCCATGTGTGTACTTAAATAGCTGCATAGCCGTTTCCAGCGAACTGCCTTAAAGTCATACGGAAAGTCTGCGTCATTATCATCATCATCATCGCAAACTCATGTCTAGGCCATTCATCATTGAGATGTTATCTGAACGTCTTTACGATGGCACCTGTGTCAACACAGTAGGACAAGGATTGTGTGAGGAGGGCAGCTTGTTCATTGTGTCCAGTTTAGTTGTCTTTTACAAGTTTAGTTGCTTTTTTACAGGCCAGTGTCATAGGTCACATCTGGCACGGCAAGCATGACATTCTACAAGCCCGTCTTCTAAATAAACCCACCTACATTAACACTCAGAGCTAATGAAACCCAAGGCAGAAACTGTCTTTCTGTGCATTGCCCATTCTCGTTCTCAAGGGGAACCATCAGCCGTGCTGGCTGGCTAAATGATGTGTCAGCAACTGTAGATTGTAAGTGTGCGTTAAGTTTGTGTGTTCAGGGTAACCCCACAGCTGTGACTCCAGATTAATGTTTGTTGGAAAGTGTGGCCAAATTCTGCTTCTCAAACTCTCATCGCGCCCATTAACCTGTCTTAGCGTAGCCACGGGGGTAAACGGCAAGGAAATGTGTGTGTATGTGTGTGTCCAGATTAATTATTCTCCCTGCAGATATATGGAATATAAACAACAGCGATTAGCTCACTAGATCCAGAACACCTCCAGCCATTTCATTTCTGCTTCAGCGTTACACAAACTTTGTCGTATGCCAAGGGATCTAGTAATATAGATCTCTTAGCGTTAACATAGCTGTGTCAGCTCAGGTTTTCAGTACTGTGTGCAGTGTAGCTCACAAACTACAAAAAATGATAGCGTTTATAGAGAACCCTTAGATAAAGTAACAAGAATGGATACAAATACATGTATTTTAGTTTTATTTAAAAAATTAACAAAAACATCACTGATTCAAATATAATGTCTAAAAGAGAGGGATACAGCTTCAGTAATATCTGGTTTAGATTATGTCAGAAGAACTAAAGAACTACAACATGGCAATGTTTAGACATGTTGTATTGTTAGATATACATCACTGAGGTCTCATGGGGAGACCCCAAACGTAACAACAGTAACAGCAAGTTAATCTCAACAGAACAGGAGGATTAAATCTCTGACACATTGCTGGGTTTGTTTGCACTAAGGGGAGACCTGCAAGCGATCATTTTAACAAGCATTGCCTCTGGCCTGTTAAATAAACAGCATATTCCACAGAGGCGAAGCCATCAGCCACTTCACCGCATTGAAAAGATAAGCCCTGTGTATATACGTTAGTGCGGAAAAGCAAAATAAATCGTACAAAAGCTAGCCGTTAATGTCAGAATTAGCGCTTAGCTGCTATGAATCAAGCCTGTGTTTTTTCAATACGACTTCACTACTCTCATAAATTCTGGTGTTTAAGTGTAAATTTAGTTGAGAGCGACTTGAAAGTATTTGTGGCTGTGAGCGGGAAGAAACTGAGAGAGAAAGCTGGATGACTCTCACAAAGCTTTATTTGTTTGGCTTGAGTTTACAGGCTTGAAGCTCCCTCCCGTTTCTCATCTCTGTTTTCCCCAGTCTTTCTCTTGTAAAGTTTTTTTTTCCCAACTATTTGCAAATAACTGCAGAAACAAACCAAGAGACATGGGAATGTGTGGATGTTTTAAGCATTTGCGGTTAGCGACAATAGTGACATGTCTCTGAATCCATATGAGACACGCATAATCACAAACGCACACACATGTAAACCTTAGAATCCCACCACAATCTGTAAACAGCAGTGAAGCATTACAAAGCCAGTCACAGTGAAGAGCCGCGAAGCTACACAGTTAGTGGACCAACAATTCTCTATAATATTTCACACTCTATATTTACGTCATCCACAGAGAGGCACTAAAACTACACAAGTGTGCCAATAACACATTGTAAACAATACTTAATATGTATTCTTGCATTCGTATTCAATGGGACGACCATCAAATGTCATCAAAAATAACTAAACAAGGAAACTGAGCAGTAATACCCACTATAGCGCCCCTTTATGGCAATGCTGTCAATCGAAATGGATTCTGACATATTTCGGAATTCAACGCATTTGCTTTCATGTTCTTGCTTCGAGTATGTTCTGGGTTGTTTTGCTAAAAAAGATAATGTTATAGCATGCACTTTATAAATAGAGTGAGAATTGGTGCAGAGGAAATGTGCTCTTATCTTGCAAAAGGAAAATGCAATTCCTTCTTGCCCGTGTAACAGCCACAGAATTTTTTCTCTGTGAGAAGATTATCTTAAGAATAGTCTACAGAATTGAGTGTGTCTATCTGTTGATGCTGGAACTTATGCAACTTTCAAAAACTAAAGATGAAAGTTTAAAGTTTTTGGCTCCATCATCAAATAGTTCCTTTGACTTTCTTTATAAGCCTACTAAGCCTAGTAACTTTTATTTCAACTTGGAAAGTTTCAGAGACACTGATTGCTGACCATTCAGCAGACAGTTTTCAACACTAAACCCCAAAGTGTTTGTGCAATTACCCTGTCCTGTCCATGTGACACCTTCTGCTCATGTGTAATTGCTGACACCCTAGGTTTCAGTATGTTAGAATGGAGGCCTGTAGAGTTTGGGAAGGCCACGTTCATTGACTGCAACAGCTTATTTATGAAAGAAACTGTAATATTAAATGTCTGGAATTTTAAAGCTCTGTGAAAAGACTAAAAGTGTGGAATTTATGTCCTGCTGTTTAAAAACTAACCAAGTAGTGCACTAAATGTCAACTCACTTTAGCTTCAAATTCCCATGCTGGGCATTTTCTTTAGAGCACAGGAAAAATGGAAAAGAAATAAAAAAAGAAAGATAAAAAGAAGCAGTTAACAGGTTTTGTGGTAGAGTTTTTGATGAGATTAAATTATGCACCCAAGGTTCCAAAATAACTGAAAATGCTCTTCAACACCACTTTAAAGCTGCGAAAAAAATTCATTTTTTTTTTTCAATAATTGTTCCATCCTTTGGAGAGTTGTTTGTTAGACTGTCCATTTATAATATTTAAAAAGGTGTAGTTCACCTAACAATGAAAATTCTGACATAATTTACATTCCATTGTGTCAAAGCCCATATAGCTTTCTTTCTGTCATAGAACAAAATAGGAGATATGTTGTAAAATGTCCAAGCTGCTCTCTTACACATAAGAAAAGTGAGAGTTTTTCAATGAATAATGAGTTACATTTTGATCTGTGGCTTTAGAAGATGATTTAGAACAGAGGTTGTACAGACTATTTTAATGATGCACCATGGTCCCCATCCAATTTTTATGCAAGAAAGCAGTTTGAGAGTTCTTCGAGAGTTACCCTTTTGTATTCCACTTAAAGAGGTAAGTAATATGGGTTTGGTTTTTAGCCACAGTGACATCCTTATTTGTCATCTCTGTTCTGGTTCATGATCTTTAAACTTTTGCACCCACAGTAATAACCACAAGATTCCACACTACATTAGGTGCAGTGCTAACGTAATGTTGAGTGTTGATGATTCAGAGGTGATCCTATATGCATCACTCTGTAACAAGAGCGTATTTACTCTTAGAGCTCTGAGCCTATTCATCACACAACAGCTTTAGCCAAGCAACCGTTGTGTAAGTGCAAAGTAGTGATGTATGTGTGAACTTCAACAACACACTGCATCAACAAACTAGTCCACCAGAGAGTTCTGCGTAAATGTTTTGACTTGCTGCATGATATAAAAGTGTGTGTGCATTTCTAAAGGATGTAGAAAGTGAGTTTTATAAAGTATGATGGCCACATTTTGCTATTTCTTAATTGTGTTGTTTTAAGCACCAACCATACAGCAGAGAGTGCATATGAAACATTTAAAAAGTACAGGCTCATATGGGCTTTTACTTTCTTTTCGGTCTCGTTTCATCTTAATCATTAGCCCACACATCCAAGAAATCAGGCAGCAGCCGTATCCCGAGCAGGGTGGGCCTCCAACACGGCCCATAAACCATGCAATCATCGAGCAAAACAACACAGACCACCGTGTTCTTTCTTCAATGTTTGTTTTTTTCCCCCTACTCCATCTGCCTCTGTGAGCAAACAAGAAATCCTAACTTTTTCCTTCCTCTCGGTGTCCACCTCAGGTCCAGAATGTTCCAGGAACTTCACCTCCAGCAGTGGAGTCATCAAGTCGCCGGGTTTTCCAGAGAAGTACCCCAACAACCTGGATTGCACGTTCATGATCTTTGCTCCTAAGATGTCGGAGATCGTTCTGGAGTTCGAGAGCTTTGAGCTGGAGCCAGACACGCAGCCACCCACTGGAGTGTTCTGCCGCTACGACCGCCTGGAGATTTGGGACGGCTTCCCTGGAGGTGAGTCACTGGAGAGATCTGTTGCTCCAAACAGGAAAATCTGAATGTTTGAAACAAAAGATCATTTAGTGGATGATGTTTGCACATTGGTTCTCAAATACTCACACTTCAAAGGACCAGCAACAATAAACTTCAATTTACAGAAACATGACATGACATCAGATAACAAGAATGTATACTAGATCGTTACAATGTAAAATAGAGTTTACATTTTCTGACAAAAACTTGAGTGTCCTATGCAAACCACACCAACACAATGTACTAGGTGGTTGGGAGGGGATTTTTTTCCACGCTGACAGAAAATGTGCAAAATTTGTACAACAGCTTGTCATGGCAGGTCCCATAAAGGGTCAACTTTGTGCCTTATCTACCTTTAAAATGTGCATATTAGGACTTTAGAGTAGTAATATGTACCCTTAAGGTACTGCTTATGGATCTTAAATAAGGTACAGTGTCATTCCTTTAAGCATACTGCCACAGTAGCAGGCTATTGTAACCCTGAAGGAACTATTTTTGCACATTTTATCTGAGATGGCACCAGTTTTATTTCAGAATTGTAAATCTGATCATATAGAAAAGTAATAGCAAACCTTTCCTCAACAAGCTGCATAAATTGCAATATAATACAGTTCAATACTTAAGATGGCAGTCTGGAAAATAAAACTAAACAATAATCAGAGCAGAAGTAATTGGGAAGGTCTCATCTTTGGCCTTCTGGAAATGGCCTTTAACAGATAAGCCAGATGGTATGACTAAATAACAATGCCATATGATTGATCTCTAAGGGAGAACAGACGCCTGACCTCGATCCATTTGCTGTGTTTCACAAGCAAAACAAACCTCTCCTAGGCATGGTCAAGTGTCGATAAGATATTTGGACTCGCACACATACTCTTACATCCACAAATGTGATGTATAAGTGTATTTGAGAACATGTTAGTAAGAGCTCTTTATCCCGTCTCTCTGGACATTAGACGGTGGTTTGTTTCGGGAAGTTCAGGGTGAGGGACTCTGGAATGTAGACTGTTGTCATAACACCAGAAATATTCTGTTCTCCAAGAAAATTACAGTTTTTATTTTTGCGTGTGTATTTGAACTGCATATACACACCCAGAAGCCCAACAGGAAGATTTCAGCTCAAAGCGGGAAGGAAGTCTGCGAGGACCAGAGGTCTTATTCAGTTTCCACTTCATTATCGACTTTTTTCTGTCTTGACGGAAGAGAGAAGCCGTGAACAAATGACACCTTTGATCTGAGACCGAGCCTTTTGAGCTTTCTCATCAGTTAACATTTTTTAAATTAGTTTTTGTTACGGGCAGAGAACTCAGAATCCAGTTGCAAGTGAAAAGTGATTTATTGTGACAATTAAATAGTGAAGCTGGGTCGCAAGCCAAACGTGATGATCAAGGTGAGTAGCCGTGAGCACACGGGGATTACGAAGTCCCGACCTGATCCAACTAGGGGAGAGGAATCCAACGAGACTTCGATGGGTTCCTAGACTGGACATAATCCGAGACAGAGGACTGGAAACAATCCGAGGCAGAGATCCACCCGACACACAGGCTCTGGAGAGACAACAAGCATGAGCCAGGACAAACAACGATCTGACAACACGCAGCCCAACACACGAGACAAATAAAGACAGGACAGAACGAGCGGCAGGTGCAGCCGCGCTGATTAGCTCGTCAGTCCCTTGGTTGCCGGAGCAACGCTGACGAGCAATCAGACAGGTAACACAAACAGACACGCAGAATTGAACACACGGATCCATGAACCGTGACAGTTTTAGCATTCTTCCAAGGATACGTTGTGAATCTATTGTCGCAATTATGATTAAAGGACGTCTGTTTAAATAATTGTTTTTTAAAGGTTACACAAAGTATTTTGTGGGCAGGCCTAGACAGAATTCGCAATCATTTTCGGAATTTGTGGAATTTTCTGGATGGATTTTGAAGGAAAACAGCGGAAAGTCCTATGCTGTTTGTTTATTTTAGGTTTCCTTAATTTTTGTTTTGTGTTCCACGGCAACAGCATGCAGGTTTGGAACAAGATAATTAGGATAAATGCTGACAGAATTTTCATTTCTGGGTCAACTATTTCTTTAAAAAGTGCTGAGAATGCTGCACTCTTATTGGTGTCTTAAGCAAACTCAAGAAGTGAGGGGTGTGTAGAACTTTGTGAATGATGCTATCCCAAACCTACAGAGCTTTTTGTTAATCCAAAATCCATGTAGGCCTGAGGAAAGTGTAGCACCTGGGACAAAGGTTGCATGCTTTTATTTAGACCCAGCAGCCTCTGTTGAAAAATCTACAATAAAAAAGGTGTCCCACAAGTGCACGGCGACAGAGAAAGAGCCAAGAGGGAGGCTGAAGACAAGACTTTAAAGGGAAGGCCCTGGTGCCTTAGGGCCTCAGTGTAACTCATCTCTACGGTTCAGACACTATCTGCATTACCTGTGGAGCCACACCAATCAATAAGTGCATTAGTGTGGAAAGGCTGCGAGGCATGAGACAGAAGCCTCTATGACTTCGAGCCCTCAGCCCACCCCTCCATCACCCACTGGCCACCCACTTTGAGGCAGTCACAGCCTGGCAGAGGTTTATAAAGCCCCCTCCTCCTCCACCAGAGCAGACATGCTGGATGGGTTCATGGAGAGGCTCTTTAAAATTTCATAGCCCTGTTGAGTCATGCAGATAATCCGGATGCTTCACCACACCCAGAGCTGTCTCAACACACAAGCGCACACATTTATGCACACTTGGATGCACCCGTTTCGATGAATTCTTATGAAGATTAAGATTCATGTAAACCCGTAGATCTGTTTTATATCACACACACACACACAAAGCTGACAGATCTGTTTAATCTCTTGTACTGTAATGGGCATCTTCTCAAAGAGCCAATCGCAGTTTCTTGTTAAGCCAATATTTCAGTAATCCCAGATGTTTCGTGTGGTTCTTATTTTGCATTGGGTCATTAATTAGACCTTTTACTCAGGTTTTGAGATTTCATGTATATTTGTAAACCTTGGGTTAATCTTGCTATTTGCATTTTTACGAGGTTTTTTTTTTTGACTGTGTGCAAAAAATGCACACAAATGTGTAATTTCAGTGTAAGTTAAGTTTCTGTGGCTGTTCAAAGCTCATGCATAATTAATAAGGCAAGCACTGGGGCCATTTATAATTGGTTGTCTTTTGCCAAACAACTTGCCTTTACATTCTAGCACCGCAATCTACCATGGTACAAGTTTGCTTAAACCAAAGTTTAAAAGTGGCCTTAACCTGGAAAGACATGTGCATATTGTATGAATAGCCCTTTTTCAATACAGCTTAAAAGCATTTCCTTCTCTCAGCTGAATGTACTGCATACCTCTTAATTTACAGCCTTAGTTATGTTTGGTTCCTTCCTTCTTGTCCCCTCCAACTCCTACACGTTTTTTCTTCTGGCTTCTGGGAAGTCACATTAAAGTGGCCCTGGAATGAACAATAAGTGCAGGAATTTATGGTTGCCACTGAAAACAGAAACCCAAGGTCATAGACACGTACAAAACAGACACTGCCCTATTCATTTCCATCAACAGCAAGGTGTAGAGAGAATGTTTTGTTCAGTCAATGCAGTTATACAAGGTCAACCAATCACACTGTCCTTGACGTTCACACACTTCAGGATCAGCTGTGATAGAATGGCTTGAATAGTAGATTATTAAACCTATCTAATCATGCCTCTCTTTCCTCTATCTTTGTCTGTTTCCACAGTTGGTCCATACATTGGCAGATACTGTGGACAAAATACTCCAGGACGGATCATATCCTACACTGGAATCTTGGCTTTGACAATCAACACAGACAGTGCTATTGCAAAAGAGGGATTCTCAGCTAATTTTACTGTGCTGGAAAGGACAGTCCCAGACGGTAAGTCAATACTGCAATGTTTAAAGTGCATTAAATAATTCATGAAATTAATACTAAATTCACATGAGATGAAGTCTCCAGTAATATCAGCATCCTAGAAGAGGTTGTTTATTGTGCATAACATGGATCACCATGTTAAGATCACACAACCAGTCATGTTGTGCGATTAATTCACTATGTCAATATTGTGTTCAAGATTTAAGATTCAGTAGTTAATAAACACAAACTTTAGATAAACTTGTCTTGCAAAAAAAAAAAGAAAGTCAAATTGTTATTCTGCGAACCATTCAACCATTGGTTCTCCATAGCTGATAGAGAGGCCAGTTCTACCAGTTTTGGAAGGTGAATGAAGGCTGGTGAAACGTAATTACTTCAAAAACTCTAGAAATAAAAAAATAAATCAAAAAATTATCAATAATAACTGTTATAAACCAGGCATATGTCCAGTTTTCTTAACCAAAGATAGTATAAGCTGAAAAAAGTCTACTTCTAGAAAAACAAAACAAAAAAAATCTAGGTTAAAGTGCATTATGAGAACTTTATTTTGAGAATGTTTGTAGCCAAAGTTATTGAATACCTACCCCACACCCTGTTGATTAGGGTATAAACCCATATACAGATATGTACCCACATTCACTTGCAAATACAACATATGACATGGGAAGTTATTAAATCACCACGTCCTGCTCAGCTGTGGCCCTCTTTCATTAAGTGATTGTGTTAAGAGTCATGACTCATCTGCCCTGCTTTATGGGGATTGGTTTACTCTTTTTTTTTTCCAAACCAGCTCACCGAGAGGGTTCACCTCTTCACCCCAATTTAAGAAATGCTCCAACTAAACATTTAATTTCAGAACACACCACCAACCCTCACCCGCAATCACGCTATGCATTCAAAACTATCCTTAGACACTTTCTTACTCCTCCTCTGTCTGTCTTTCTCACCGTCTGTCTTTGTCACCTACCCTGTTCAACATGACAAGTAGTGGTGCTTGTGATTCGACACAAATGTCCAGTATAATTGCAGCCCATACCAGTTTAAGGTGGTTACATATTGTATATATCATAAAGTGCATATTGCCATTAAAGTTGTGAACTGGTGTACCGTGTTATATTTCAGCTTGAGCTCTCAGAACACATCAAGGTGTTTACTACATCTCTGCCATCCCAGCTCATGCTCAAGAATACATTCAGTGTGTTCACAGCAGGGGATTTGCCCAACAGTCGCAGTCTATCAATTATTTATTGGCTCCATAAATTTACATTCTGTGGCAGCTTCTCTCGCAGTTCGACATGTTTACCAGTATATTGTGCTTTGCAGGAAGGAAGGAGATCGCCATTGGCAATAAGTCTTTATGCGAAGGATTTTGTCAGTGAACCGTCATAGATTTATGGTCTCTGCTGAGTCGGCCCAAACAGTGACGGATGCCAGATGTAATCAGACAAGAGATCTGGTTGTTTTCAGTCATTGTTCTAAAGAATGAAAGGGTGGAAAGTGGATAGATGGCTTGAAGAGATAGAGAGATAAAACAGAACAAAAGAGAATGAGTAATGTTAAGATTAAGTTGAGCTGAGGTTTCAAGGGTAAAAGAGAGAAATTCATGAGAAGCACATAAAAGACTCAACAATCACTTTTGATTTTGAGTTTAGTGCTAGCACGAGTTGCTAAGCTAATGAAGTGATTTTTAATATGCACAAAAAATACTTTTACAAATTTCTACAATATATTGGTACATTGAAAACATCTATGGTTACTCTGGTATATTTTTGTAAGGATATTGGATAAAATAGTATTAATACGTTTCCATCCTTCCATCATTATATAGGCAGTTAAACTCTCTTTTACAGTTATTTTTCAAAATGAATTCTGTGATTGGTTACTTTACAAAGAATAAATGCTGCCTTACAATTTGAACAAAAATAAGTATCTTAGACGGTATCAAAAACTTGTGCTCTCTAGGAAGGCAGATCACTAGGTTTTCAGAATTGCGCTTATGGCTCAGTGTGAATAAACAAATAAAACTACTGTCTATCTAACACGCATGTTTTCTCCATCTGCTACATGTGTTTAGTCCTGGATGTTTGGGCTGTGTTGTTTGTGTATCTGACCTGCTTGAACCTTTCACTGTTATATTAGGTAACACGAGCTCACCCTGTTTCAACATGCATTTCCTTACATTTACAACTGTGTTTGTTTGGAGTCTGTGACCTGTTGTAAATAAATTAGCATGTCTCCCACCTCAGCCTCAACATTTCCCCATCCTTCACTGTCTCAGAGTCCTAAATTCTGTGCCGAAGCGTCTGGAAAAGACCCTTGGGGGTCAAAGCATGAACTTTGCTTGTCTCAGACACACGGCCAGCATGTCTCGAAACGACTGCCCCATAACGTCACAAAACAATCAGCAATGCCCTTATCCTGGGTGGCATGGCATGAGGAGTGATATACAACCTGCTCTCCTTCCGTCTGAAAACACAGACCTGCTAGAGGCGTCTCTGACTTTCCATTCCTCCAAATGCTGATGCTGGGGAAATGGCCTTCCCGTGTGCCATTTAACTGTGCACCTTCAGAAGGCACTTCTTTTATGAACCTCAAGACTTCTCTCGCCGCTGGACTTAAGAGCTTAAACTGAATGTTTTATGAATAAAGGTTTGCGTCTTAATGTGGTACACTTCCCACAGTGCTTCCATTAAACTGTGGGAAAGAAAAGTGCGTATGTTTTATTCTGGTGCTAAGAGATGGAAACCTATGGTACTTTGCCTCTGAGTGGCCCATTCCCGAGAGGAAGGCCTTAGTTTGGGTCGTGATCTGATGTATTCTTTATTTAGATTGTGAAATGACATTTTAACAACTCCCCCGCCCCTATTTTTCTGTGCTTTCCTCAGACTTTGACTGCACTGAGCCTTTGGGTATGGAAACTGGGGAAATCCATTCCGACCAAATCATGGCCTCATCCCAGTACAACCCCAGCTGGTCTCCAGAACGATCTAGACTCAACAACCCTGAGAACGGTTGGACCCCTGCGGAGGACTCAAACAAAGAATGGATCCAGGTACTGTACGATTCACACGCGTATACTGAAGATAGCAGTTTATTATGAGTGAGTAATGGAGGAGGGATTTGTCCTTGGCAGAGAATAGAAACTTCTGTGATATATTTTGAAGAATAGAGAAGTCGGGTCTACAGACGAAAAGTTTGAAACTCCCTCACGCTTTTATGATTTTTGAGTTAGAAACTTTCTCTAGCTGAATTCGACTTCAACTCAATCAGGCAGCCTTGCAGATGTTTTTGCCACTGGCTCTCTTTCGAAGACCAGCAGCAACATCTGTTGAATTTTGCCCTTTGGTTGAAAGCCATGGAATGTTAAAACCCAAATGCACTGGTTCACTCTGGCCCCAGTGAGTCATCCTGGCCAACAGATGCTTGTACCCTTAACAAAGACTGTCTATGAGATGCATCTGGGTGTATCTAACATGATCTTAATGTCCGAGATACAATAAGAACCTAAAACTTATTCTAAGGAATGTGGCCACACACAAGGACAGTGACATGGACAACACATTATTTGCGTGTGTATTTCAGTCGCATGAATCTGTGAAAAACATTTGGCAGGAGTCATTGTGTTGATTACACAAACATTGCAGCACCTCTCCAGGCCTTTTCTTGCACTTGGGGGCTTTTCTGTGACCCAAACCTCAAGGGTACCCTCAAAACCCAGACTTGTTTTATAATCTTTGCCTGACTGGAAAGTTTGGGCCAAAGAGACAGACATGGCTAATAACAGACATGACCCACAGCCAAGTATTTGCTAGGGGAGGCCTGTTAAGCAGATTTTCCTTATTGCTGTCAAAATATTGTCTGTGTTCTAAACCAGAAACTAATTGAATTAGAGGACGGTGCCTCAACTTAGCAGAGAAGAGGAACCACAATGTTTGATTCTTACGCACTTGACGTAAGCATTTCCTGAGGAACTGGAGACAAGTTCTTCACCAGTGGCTACAAATTCTGACCCACGTTTTAGGAAGAAATTCCACAAGTAGAGCCCTGAGGATACAATGTGGAGTCTGATCGAGTTGAGGATTGTAACTGTAGCCGATATCTCGAGTGCTTTTGATCATAGTAATTCAAAGTTCTTCTTTGTTTAGATGGACTCATTATGCTTATAGATTACCAGTCTCTGTCAATATGGTATTGATATGACTGTTATACAGAGCACAATGAACTATCCTAACACTCTACCAGGATGTTCTTTGAGAAGCAGTCGATAATTAGCCTCTACTCGTTTTACAGGCCATCACTTTAAGTGAAGCATTCTCATGTTCATAAGATGACAGTATAGTTATCATTGTTTGGCGTGCGGTTTTGACATGCTGTTGTGCTACTTAGTTTTATCTTGTATCCAACCAATGGGAAGTCTTCAGAAAAGAAACATTCTGCTTTTGTGGCTTAAATGAGTCTAAAAGATCAGAGAACATTTCTCTTCTAGCACCCAAACCAATCGGTTCCACATCATTTCACAGTTGCCACTTCATATTTTATTCAGGTTAATTAAGTAGACTTTGCAACTGTTCACACTCTTGGCTTGCTGAACTTGTTTAGTCATTTCAGATATTAATGAAACCCTAAATGACTCGCCTCCCACAGTGAGGTATCGAGCTGAAGAGAGCACAATTTTGCAGCCGCCTGGAATTCTCTAAAGGGTATTGATTAGAGGAAGGGTACTCTTTTTGGTGGGACAAATTTCAGCAAATCAAACGTATTCTGTTTCAGCCCCCATGTACCGTGCCCCTGTAAATCCCTTTTCGCCAATCAGATGTCAAAGTTGAACCCCGCACATCTGTTTCCAAGGGAACAAAGGCGGAACCCTGCCAAGGATGAATGATTTATAATTTGGAGACGTCCTGCGCTCGTTCTCTCTCTCGTGCCCGGCACTTGTGGAGGAGTTTAATTATAACAAGCGTTATTAAAAGAGTGGAATTCTTCATTTCGCTTCCATTAAGCAACATGACCCACCACAACAGTATTTCTCAATCTAATGACGCAGTCCACTTGGCACGCACAACTCGCTCGCTCCTGTGTCCTCCAACGCATATTATCAGTTCATTATTTATTACATTTACACTCTCGAATGTAATTTACAGCCGACATTTATATTATTCATAGAGGCCGGTTCTTCCTTGTTAAAAATCCCCATTTCTTGCAGTTTTTTTCTACCCAGAAGGTGTCAAAAAGACAGCATTTGTCATGCATCCTAATGCGGCTTCAAATTAGATTCAGGGATTAATGCTCCCAGCTTGCCACTCCTGATAATTAGTCGAGGGTCAGGAGATCTTGAGCTAAGCCAGTGGGCTACAGAGGCTTGTCCGTTTACAAGGGTTTGTGCCATGCTGAAAATCAAATGTCCGTTCAGACGTATGATGAATGAAAGAAGGGCCCAAGTCTTGCAGAACAGGGGAATCTGGCTCTGAAAACTTCCAGTGTACTGTGTTTATGGATACGGCCTGGTTTCAATAGGAAGACCGTGTTAAAGCATGACAATCCGAGATACCTACATCTGTACAACACATTTCAACTCTCTCTCAAGGAAAGACTTCCGATTTATAGAAGACCGTAACCTAAAACAAAAGACGCTGTGAAGGTTCTTATGGATGGCAGATTTTCAGTCCTGTGGAGAGCTTGGCATAACAAAGAACAGATCCTGTTTTGGTAGACATCAATGCAGTGTGTGGCGTATTGCAAGTGATGCAATAAATGCACGCTCATCCACTCCAGGAGCATCAAAGCACTTTTATGAATTATGCATTTTGATCTGGGAAAAAGTCAACTGTCAATAGTTGAAAGCCCCTGTCTAGCTCCTAATGGTTGAATAGAAGTCGCTCATTATAGATCATGTTCTGTTTCATTAATCTCAGCCTCGCAATCATTCTCGTCCACAGGTCTACCGAAACGCATCAGCCGCTTGCGTTTATGCAGCGGTGCTTGGAATACGCAGCGATTCATTTATAAACCCGCTGCATACGTCTGTCCTGCTGTTCTGCTAAATACTTTGATCAGGGCTTGATTCAGGAACGCGAGGGCTTTTCTCCTTCGCATCACTGGAGAGGATGTTTACCTTCATTTTGTTCATTAAAGCATCTCTGACAAGAGGTCAGAGTGTTCAAAACAATAAGGATGATGTCTTCAAGTCTGGAACTGTAGAGTGCCAACCAGGTTTTGTGTCGGCCAGTTCAACGGGAAGCCGTCAGCTTGATTGATGGAGGTGAGGAGGGAATGTGCCAGTTAGGGCTGTGACGGTCGCCGTGACAACCGCATCACCGCGGTGGTCGCTTGCCATCGCGGTTGTCTACTGCCACCGGCGGTAGTGCACGTGACGTCACGCACTCTATAACAAGCATAATACAAAGTTTTGTATACAAGTGTAATAATAACAGTAATAACAGTAGCGGAACAGTGAACCGTGTCTACACTTGACGCAACACCACTGCGTCGCAACAGGTTGCGTTTGTCTAGTGTCTACACAGGACATTTGAACTCTGTGTCAGTACCTCATAAATAGAACGAGGCAGTTTACTGTCGGGAATTTGTCATGTCGTGTCGTGCCGCATCCAGTGTAGCATCACTGATTATAATGTGTTTTATAGTATTTTGTCACGCCGCGCAGCTCGTGTCCTGTAGACAGGGTGTTTTTAACTTTCTTATTTTGGGCTACTTTCTTGTTTAACTGTATTATTTCTTTGATATTTATTTTAGTGTTTTGCAGGCTGCGTATTCACTGACTGAAGTGCTAAAATAAACACAAGCTGACGAGTTAAATCGGGTGTGTTAGATGAGTGAGATGGCTGCTCAGGACAGTTTTGAAAACCATTTCAGAGACATGTTCTTAAATGTGACTCACATAAAATATATTACATGCATGCACAGTTTTAAGGCAGCTTTAATCGCCTTTTTGGTAACTTCATGACTTA